TATCATGTCGTCTCGAGCAAATGATTCATGTATCATATTTAATAAAATGTCAACGAGTAATTGATGTTTAAGAAAATGAACAGATTCTTTACTTAAATTCCGAATCGAATTTTGTTTTACAAGATTCGAGTAGATTCAAAAGTCTTTCTCAGTTCGGTAGTTTTTCGCTTATGTTTCTGACGACTCTTACAAAAAAATTTATTTTCTTCAATGATCTCAAATAGACCGTGGACTGGTGAGAAATTGCAGCTTATAAAGGTGATTTTATTTTCAAATGCACTTTGCGACCAATGAAGCAGCAACTTTACGCAAAGATGAACATAGCCAAAAATAAATATTATTTTCAAAATGAGACATGGGTCCTCTAAAAAAGTCTAAAGTATCTTTCGGATTCTTCCACAAAAAAGGTGTCGACACAGCGAAATGATAGAATAAGGGAATTGTTACGGATACCAATGTCTTTTTATCAACCACTTTCGAATTCTATACCCCGATAGCGGTGTCTTCGATAGTTACAGACAAAATGGAAAGGAATCTTCTCAATATTTTAACCCTAAAAGTTAATTATTATTTGATAATTTTCCCTGATTGAATCTTTTCGTTTACTGCATCTATGTAACTTTGAAAGACTAAAGCATTCGCAGGTTATCCATGTTTTATTCTTTAAAATAAAGAAAAATCCGCGAGTCCGCGGACTAAAATATAATAGAAACAAGGTAACGCTCGTCTGCACTCGCTCGGTCCCTTGACTTTAGAAACTTATATCTGCGAACGATCTTCCATCACTTTTGAATCCACGACAACGCTCACGCCTCCCCTCGATCATCGTTCGCCAGGGGGCTATCTGAAATATATTGTAAATTTTTCTCTAATTTTTTGTGTAAGGTTAGTTATCTAATTTAGATCTAAATGGTTTTCTGAGACCTTTCGAAGATCTCGAGAGGTCCAAAAATATTTCTGAATTCAAAACAATGCTCACGCCTCCATTCGGTCGATGTTCGATGATATTACCGAAATGGTAATATTTTTAGCTGTCATAGTTTACGAAAACAGTAAGAAAAAGAAAAGTTCAAACTTTTGTCACGTACTTCCGGCAACAATTATCATAACTGTATAGTATTTGGTGTAGAAATGGATGAAGGCATACGTTTACAAGCATCTATCTGAAATTATTTCAGTTTGAAGATTGTTATTCCTGCATTTTCTTCTATGAAAGCCATTCTGTGGCTCTCCATATTTATAGCAATGTACTTCATTTACTGTCCTGTCATAGGCTAAAGTCACTATTTTTCAAAGGTTTCACGTACAAAAATTTTGTAACAACTTTTAGGATTTTCCAGAGTTTTTCAGAGCTTTTCGAAGGAATTGCAAGATTCTCATACTGGTATGTAAAATTTGACAGTTTTTACCTCAGAAATACTAATAAAACTTTTCAGAAAATTTCAAAAATTTTTTGAAACGAGGGAGGATTTTAATACATTTTTCACATCGACCTCTCCAAGGGGGACTTCTATTATAGGGGGAAAGTAGTAGCGCGTTAGCCCTTTATAACTTGCTATAGCAAAAAACGGTTAATGCTAATATCTAATGGTTGTTGATGATAATTTATAATGTCCTTGTCTTCAGTTGATGACGATCGAGGAGGAGAAGGAGTGCAAGAATGCAACATAGTCAGAAATTGAGAAAATGTGAAAAAAATGCATTAGATACGTTTAAAACGGAAAGTATTGATACAATTAACAGTCTCATATTCCAACAGTACGTCTTTAACAAACAATAGAATAAACTCAAAACACATGCAAATTAACGAGGAATATAAAGTATCGAAGGTATCCCGGTAGTAGTATTTCACAGAGGCTCTGTCCATCCTGTAAGTGTTAATTTATTATTCCGTCTTTGCTCTTTATGAGTTCTCTACTTAAGAAGAAAACACTGCGTTCTGCGAAAAATCAGAAATAATCTCTTTTCTATCTTTAATGGCGCTCGCTTTTAAATTCTTATTCCTGACAAGAGATTAAAAGAATATCATTTATATGTGCAGTTAAGGGAAAAATATAGGTTTAACCTATATTTTTATTGTATAATATACAATAATAATATAGCTACTATTCATCAGTGGAGAGCTACAATGGCTAGAGTACCGTAAATGTAGGAGATCAATAGATACAGTCAAACATGTACAAATGGATAAAATATATTTCGTATTAAAGAATACTTTTTTCCCTTTATTTGCATGCTTCTGTTTGCATTCTTTTTTTTACCACCTTTTTTATCTCATAAGTGCTTCACAAGATCTCACTCCGATGTATACATGATTCTGTTTGACCTACAATCCTGAAAAAATAATTTCCGCGTAAACATGTTATCAAAAATTCCAACGTAGATTCTTGTTCTGTCAGTAAAGTCAATACTATAGTTCTTTAATTAAGCGGTACAGGCAATTGACTTAAAAGACTTTTGGTCATAAATGTATATTTGTCTAGGTCTTGTTCCGAAGTAATACGACATAATTTTAATCTATACGAAGATTTATTCTGATTGTATTCACTAACACCTTTTAATACTCGAAATCTTGAAAATAGATACACTTGATTTTCTTCAACATTTGTCGAAAGAAAATTTAAGATTTTATATAAATGTCTCATCAGTTTTTCTTTATTATTCATTTCAAGAAGTTCATCCGTTTTATGTTCAAGTAATGAATCAATTCGTTGATTATCCGACGAACGTCTACCAATTATAATTGATGTAATACCACCTAAAAATGATTGAGTCCACAGTTTTCGTTTATTTTGACGAGTTGAACATTTTAATTCCAAATATCGTTCAGTATTTGTATCAATGGCATCGGTTTCAGCTAATAATAATACGTTAAAATGACCAATTTTACCTGAGATTAAATTATAGTAATCCGTTGAAGATGTGAAGGATGCAGAATGCGTACAAACTTTTTCAAACTGAAAACCAATATCGCCTTTATTCATATTTTTTCGTTCAACATATCGACGGAGATAAATGGTATTATCAATTTTGATGATACCAATACTGTACATTTCATCACACATCATTATTTTATTGAAATTACCACGTTCAGTAACAAAGTTATAATTACTAATATTAACATTACAAGTGGAAGCTGTGATTAGTAACGGTAGAAGGCTGGTTGGAGGATATTGAATATAAATTGTTCGAGCGGATGGTAAACTAAATGGTATATGTGTCGGTGGGGAGTAACGCGGTGGTTCACCCGGAATACGCAAACATTTTTTATAGTTTTCAATATTCATATGCTCTTTAGGTAAACGCCATGATACGTTACATGTCCCAACAATAATAGGATTATACATATCTACTAAATTCACATTTAAACTATTTGTTGTGGCTGAAGTCTGACTAATATTATTCTCCTCAGTTAGATTCAAATCACTAATTGCATTTATTAGGGTGTCCTCTGAATTTTCTTCGTCTAATTCGTTGACAATCGTTGTGCGATGAAACACACTAAGAGGAAGTCCATCATCACGCCCGCTGTTGCGTCCATGATCTGAATGAGCTGACTGACGTTTAACATTGTATGCCATACTAAACTTTTATCTTCAATACAAATCATAAACTTTGTGAGAAGATCTACTGTTACATATAGCACACAAAGACTTTTGGTAATTTTTGTATGAGTGGCTTTCTCATTTAGTTTAAAATCTTTAATATAAGATAAATAAGCAAAGAAAAAGTAAAATTATACGAATTGTTTTTCTTCATGTTCTTTTTTTTCTCTGCTTTCTCTCATTTGTTTTTTCAGTATACACATACGTAACATCAACAAAACAGTCAAAAATGATATTTTGGGCTCCTGTCTCTTTCTTTTTTATTCCGAGCTTTCTCATCTGCCTTAATAAATATTAGCTTAAAAAAAAAACGTATATCAAAGCGGCATGTGATGTATAGATGAAAGTGAGATCTTAAGAAGCACTTATGAGATAAAAAAGGTGATAAAAAAAGAATGCAAACGGTAGCATATAAATAAAGGAAAAAAAGAACTGTTTAATACGAAATATATTTTATCCATTTGCACATGTTTGACTGTATCTATTGATCTCCTACATTTACGGTACTCTAGCCATTGTCGCCCCCCTAAGGGGCTATCCAATGATATGATTGAGAAACTACTGAAAGAAGCGCACATAACACAATATAATATTCCAAAATTGTGGATGTTCGCAGTGTACATAACAATTGAACAATAGATGGTTTTGTTCTCCATTTAAAGTTGCATCGAATGGTGTATAAGACTGCCCTTTAAACTTGTTTCATTCTGAAAAAAATACGAAAACACATCGCAGTGGGTTCGAGAAACTATTGGTCAAAGCTGATCGATTTTCTTACAGATATCAAGTCCGATGGGAAATCTTTTTCATGTTGAAATAACTATTTCAAATGAAACGTTATTTATTCTGAAGACATCATCAGTTAACTGATGTACAAAAAGTAACTTCTAACATAGAAAAAGACAATACAACACGTGGAGAATAGTAAAATTTTTTCCTCTTTCTCTGTCCTTCTAGATCATATGTAGTATGATTCATCTTAAAAAACATTCCTATTATAAAAATAAAAATTAACGAGAAGTGTGTCTATCAACTTTGTCGTTCTTTTTTCTGCGGAAAAAATCAACATTTCTTACTGTTTTATTTTAACATCATTAACAAAGATAAAATTTTATGAAACTATACTCTTTCTTTGGTATAATAAATCAACGACATACTCAATTT